CGCACTTCCGGTTCCATTTGATCACAAGCCCCTCACTGACAAGTGACAACCAGCACCTGTCCCACTGAATTACCGGAAAATTTGTTAATTATTTTCACCAATTTCAATTTCAAAACACTCCAATTTCATCTCGCGCTCTCCCTCATTTCAATTTCATCATTTTCATCATTGACTGGAGTATTTTATCATTTATAAAAAATATATATCGACATTCCGATATTTATCTCGATAACACCCAACAATTAGTCCGATTTAGAAAGTTGGAAGTGCGTCATCTCTTGCTGGGAAATAACGCTGAAATGATAAAAAAAAAAATTATTCATCAGCATCCATTGAGTGAAACGCCTACCCCGGGTTTATAGTCTGGAAATTATTCATAAAGAAAATTTCCTCAGCTCATTTATTTCTTCTCATCATCAATATTTTAATGTGCCCACTGTTGTGGCTGAGTTTACAGTGCAGGAAAAAATGGAGACCAGGAAATTTCAAGAGGTTTTTCTATTTCTCGGGTGTGAAAGAATTCAAATGACACGTACAATCGACTCTCTGACGTCTGCATTCCTAGAATTTATCTGCAAATTCACTATTTGCAATAATTCATTATTTTTAATGATGAGGATTTTTTTTACATCTTTCAGTTGGGTTAGATACAGATTCATTAATAATGGAACAATTGTTTCCAGAGCAAAAACCATTCTTTGATACATAAATGTTGTGAGAGTTCTAATTGTTTAAATGGTAGAAATGAAATTCAATGATTTTACCACCAGGATAAAAATTGATGTTTCATCCTCGTGACTTATCATGGTTACGTGCCTTTTTTGCACTATCAGCTGTGATGAGTAACCCGAGCTCATTTATAATATGACGGGAAATATAATGAATATTTGTTGACATTACATGAGACAATTTTAATTGGATTTCAGTTCTTTGTATTGCTTTGAAGATAATTACTCACGTACATCTGTTACGCAAAAATACCGGTGAAAAAGGAATTCGCGATGGCTTATTAGGCTCGTTATTGTCGGGCTGGCAGTGCCTGATCCTGAATTTGTGGGATACCTGGGAAAGTCGTCTAGTCTGGTGACTTGAGTCTCCGCCCCGCACTGGAAAGTCGTCTTTTCATCGGATACGGGGACAACTGAATTTCCACTTCCGGAAGTGACTCAGGTGGATTTGTTTGCGAAATTAAATGCAGGGAATGATTCTTTTTCAATATCAAGGGATTTTACTCCAATTAAGTCCCAGAATGATGTCCATTCCAAGCCTTTGACATACCAGAAAAAAATTTATATGCTTAATGATTGATTTATGATAGTTATACACTATTGTTGTTATTATTATTACATTATTATTAGTTGATCCATGATATCTGAATTAATATACATTACTGACATGTTTTATACATTGTCTTTATCATTTTTTTTATATATTACAGTTTATTCATTACAGTTATGACGTTTTATGGTAGGCGGAAAAAATATCCCCGGAAAAAATAGCCCACACACCCAAAACGTGTTAAAACCCACCCAATTTGATAGACCATAAGAAAATTAGAGTCCCCGAAAAAATAGGCAACCGAAAAAATAATTAAATTAAAAAATAATTAAATTGAACGAGGTTTAACACGTTTTGAATGTGTGGGATATTTTTTCCCTGGGATATTTTTTCCGGGATTCCGTTTTATTGACTTTAAAATTAGATCATTCATGAAAGTTTATATTTATCCGAAAAATTCAATGAAATTTCGAATTTTCAGGGAATCTGTGGTATTTTAAGGCCCAATTTAAGTTGCAAAAATTGGACACAGAATTTCATGGGATTTCAAACAACTTGGGAATTCCGGAATATAATCAACTTAATTCTCATAATTTTGCACACTTCCATTATCGTATAAATTGGAAATCATAATTTCAATGAATATTCAAATAATTCTACGATTTTCTAGTGAAAAATGGAGATAAACTTCATGCAAATTTAGAGTTCTAGAGAATGTCAAGCTGTTGCTTGGGAATTCAATTAAAATTATAATCATCCATCAATCTGGTTTCCAACTAAACAATTATCCCAAAAGAAGAGATCATTCGTTTTTATGTTTTTTTTTATTATATAATTATAAGTATTTTCTGACTACCCTCTGGATATTTAAATAATTATTTATTTGGAGAGTGAAAAATATCGAATTGGCTGATGAATTATTTTCAGGGGATGTTTTTTGAGAATGTTGTGAGGATTGGAGGGAAGTCGGTCGACCCTTGGGCTGTTTGTTTGGTCGATATGAGAGAAACATCTATAAAACTGGTTACGCCTCAATTCATCCCCACCTCCTAGCAGATTTGTCATCCTGACATGAATAATGTTTCGTTCGATCCATTTCCATCGTTTATTCCTCCACCGTCATTTGCCATTGTAAAAAAAACCGTTTAATTGAATCTCGTTTCAGTGATAAAAAATTTCTCCTAGTTAATGAGACCTTTATTAATGCAACTCGATTAACTCTTTAGGATATTTTTTATTTTCTAACGAACGCACGAATTTGCAACTAGAAATGCAGAATTTAGAAATAAAAAACACAATAATTCATTATTAATTAACTTGAAGATTCCCAGCGCGGAAACAATTGAAACATTCAGCCTAGAGTAATGTATGTGAATATAATTGAGATAATTAGATTGAAAAAAATATTCGTCGAGATTTTAATATTTATAATGAATCAATTAAATAATATGGATTTTTTTACTGGATGTTAGAAATTATTCGTTAATTTTAAATACTATTCTATTCTTAATAATTTGAAATTCTGGTACGTCTAATGCTCAATAATTTAAATAATCCAGCAATAAAGAATTCCCCAGAAATTTAAAATCAGTCGATTGTAAATTTCCATTTTTTCAACTTAAAATTCCGATATAACAATTTCTCAACCTTTAACAATGCACTAGATTCAGGAACAGCGTTGGCCCGTAAAAAAAGATTTTCCATCGAATTAGTCGACAGTTTTGCAAAAACACATCAATGGGGAGTTGTAATCGTTTTTTTAATACGAATAAAGATTGATAGATCAATCTTTATTCATTGATGCTACTTTTACGGTTTTCCATCAGAAGGAGAGTGATACGGGAGGGAAAAAAAATTCAGTGGGTTTGGGGAGTAGATTTAATCTGTTTTTCTTAGTGAATCCCTCCTTGAGTCAACTGTCCGTTTAGTCCGGACTATGTACGACCGGAAGGGACGAGTTATGACACTTGAATCAGTCGATTAAACTCTTAAGAGGGTCCAAGGTGCTCTTCCGACACTTTCTGCTCTTTACTCCTCTCCAAAAGAACACGACAATTTACGTACAAAACACTCGGATCTCCCTTTGCCTTTTCTTTTTTCCTCGTTTCATTTCACTCCAATCGTTTCCGGGATTTTGCAGGTTTATTGGCCCTCGGTTCATCGACTTTTCTCTCGCTCCATATATTTTCTGGATTTTACCCACCGGTCTGTTTGTTATCAACAATTGACAACATCCGATATTTAATTCCATAATTGTTGATTTTCTGTCATTACTCGTTATTCACGAACGGTTAATTTGATCCATGGAGTAATGGAAAGGAAAATCTTCCATTCGAGAGGCAATAAAAATACATTTTTATTGTCAATTCTGCAAATCGTTGATTTATCGATCAACAATTTCGGTTTCATACTGAGAACTGATCATTTTTTATTGATAATTGTTATTTTTTTATGTATGTAGGTTTATCTGTAATTATTAATACTTAATAGATTCATACGTTCAATAAATTTATGTAGAAAAATGAAAAATAGAATAACAAAGAGTTTAAGAACTCAGAGCAATTTCTCTCAATATGAACACACATTTTTTTAATGCAAAAAAAAACATAAAAAATAGATGAATATTCGTAAAAATCCTCGAAATTCTGTGTAAATTACCAGACTCCATATCCAACTCCAAAAATTATCCGAATTTTCAAGATTTTTCTAGAAAACTCCAGAAAACCTGACAGCAAAGTTAATCGGAGGTCGACATGTGTTCGCATAAAAACATTGCATCCCACACGTAACGTCTGACCAGAGAAAGAGACATTTAAATGATTATTAAGAAACGACGGAGAGAAACAGAAAGTTGACGGAATAATTGGCACAAATTGACACGAAACATTCAATTGAAATGAGATCAATAAATCCAATTACTTAACTTTGTGAACAGGTTGGGGGTCAAGAGATTGTCACTCGTCACGATTGCAGAATCAGTGGTTAAATGCAAATTAATTATCCTTCACTGAATTTGATGTTCACTTACTAGTGTCTTCATTTCTTGGAGGATGTACACTCACTTTGTCTGGAGGCCAGAGGATTTATCCTTGTGGCAAGATTCAATTCCAGTTAATGGAGAAATGTTGAGACCGATAATAAATCAATTATTCCATTTCCTGCATCAAGAAGATAATTTACTGGAAATTCAGAAGGAAAAACCGCTGAGTTTTCAGAGATTATCTTAAAATTTTCTTCCATCATTTTTACAGCTCGCATTCATCTCCAGAAATACCGGAAATTCTACGACCATCTCGCTGGACCTTTAAACGATGCTTTATCCTTTTACCCAAAATTATCGTTTTTTCAAATTAAAATTTCTTGTCCCAAAATGGGACAAACGTTTAAAAAATTCATACAACTTCAAAAAAACATAAGAAAATGAAATGATAATAAAAAAAACAGCCATAAAATAATAATAAAATGCAAAAACTATAAATTTTTAATGATCAATCCACTTTTTTCATTTCACAACAATTTTTCAGAAACTCAAAAACCAGTAATTTTGGCTAGAAGGGAGCGACATCCTTAAATCTTGAAATATTTACTGAAAACAAATTCAATCGATTGATAATAACTTTTTCTACTGCAGTACCCCTTCAATTTAATTGAATTCTATAAATTATTGACTGAAATTATTGTAACTCTCGTTCTTATTATCGTTTTACTTTAATTATTTGCAGGAAGGGGCGATTTCGTAGGTGGAATCGACAATGAAGCTCTGGATTTTTCTCAGCTCGAGGATTTCATTAACAGTGACAGTCCACATCCAGCCACGTAAGTTCAATATAAATCCAAATAAATAAATAAATTTCTGAAAATGCGCGGAAAAAAAATTGATGAATTCGATTTCACTTTAATGTCTCGTCAGGTAATAATTCAATCGCAGAACAGAAAAAATCTTCATAATTGTCACTAACGTTGGGAAATAATAGTGTGTAACCTTGGTTGGAAAAAAAACCGGAGAAAAAATACAATGATTGACTGCCGGTGACTTAATCACGAGAAAATCCGTTACGATGGATAATGACATGTCGAAGGAACTCTCCGAAAACGCAGAACAATTGTAATTAACTCAAATCTATAGTTTCCCGAATGAATTGCAGAATATTTACGACTAGTTCTATTGATTTCTCACTCTACAATTCCATAAATGAAGATAAAAAAAAAATTTCCGTAGATTTTTGTTGTAAATCCGAAATTTCGAATTGAACACCGAGAAAAAAAACTTCGAAACGAAATATCTCGGAATTGAAGAAAGATAATAATATTTTCATTGATATCTTTTTTGTACTTCTCACTTTTTTCTATAAAAAATGTTCCTACAAAAAATTCGCTAATTTCATTCAATTCCGAGATATCGGCTTAAAGATTCGTCGAAAAAAATGCACTTGTAATTCACCAGTTGAAAAGGGAATTTGTTCTGCTGCAATAATTTCTATTCACTTGATGCCTATTTTTTCTCTGTGGCTTGAAGAAGATTTGAATTGAACTCATTCACTCCATCGTCATCAGAGGGTTTTTTTTTCTCAAAGATGAAGTTAATGCCACCATTGAGGGCTCGCAGTAAACCGTCAGTAACAACGTAATGACGAGCTCATGCAGACAGCAAACGAAATTGATGGAATCAGTGCTGTGTCGCATTAGGGTAATTTGTCTCGTATCCACTAGCGAGGGGTTGAGGGGGGACTCATAAATGCACTTGTAGGACAATGATGGTGAAAATGGTGGAGTGAGTACTGTAAATCGAGGGCTCGTGCCACCGGAACAATCCAGACTATTGAGATATCACTTCCTCTATCAGGATCACGCGAATCTCCGACCATTCGTCCCTCCAAGAAGCACAATTAAGAAAGTTGTCAACTCCCTCGACGATAACCGAGCAAAAAATTTTTTTATTCAACTAAAACCCGTAGAAGTCCTCTCCACATTTTTTTATCGTGAATAATTAAAAACTCCATGTTTTATCAGCACACGCAGTGAATTAGATAGCGATATCTCTGATTTATGAGCTGTGGAATGCACCAACTATCGAATCCCCAAAAGCCAAAGGGGGAGAGCAAAAAAGTGTAACGAACACAAATAAATTTGCAATATCACAATGAGTGTTCAGAGGTCAAGGACAAGTCCCCCATCACTCGTCGCGATGGCACATGGCGACGATATCTAGAAAAATTAGAAAGCATACTAAATTAATTAATTGATAAATATAAAATTCAAATAAAAATTAACACCTCACTAATTGATCCCTTCATTACTGATTACATCCTGAGAATTACTCCCCAGAGAATATATTTGAAAAATTTTTAGAAGAATCTTTAATTATTGGATTTATTATTGGAGATTAAAAAAAATTTCAGTTACTTCGCGGACACCTTAGCCCACAACGAGACAACAGCCCCGCCATCGCATAATGGCCGAGTGGATGTGCAACCCCCTCGGCTGCCATCGCCCATCACCCACCAGGTCCAGGGTTGTCCCTCAGGACAAACCCCAGTTCCCACCTCCACCCCTTACAAAGACCAGTCGTACGTCCACCCCCATGCCCTCCCCGAGAGTCCCCCGGACAGTGGTTCAGAGCCTCCGTACTCCCCTCCTGGACACCACGAGCAACACGTCCACTCGCCCCACCAAAAATCCACAGTCCAGGACATTCTGCTTCATCACCAGAGTAATGGCTTGAATTATCCATCCTCGAGTCTTCTTCCCCCTTCCCCAAGGACTCTGGCCTCCTCTGGAGATCCCCTCCTCCTGAGTCATCCTGTTCTGACTCCCCTTCTGGCACCGGTGACGACTGCCTTATCCTCCTCATCATCATCCTCGTCGTCCTCCTCCTCATCGTCATCATCCCAATTGAATCCTTCGTTACCACTTCCTCATGAACGCAGTCCCAGTGGCATCACGACTCTTTATTCATCTCTGCAATCAGCTCCTAAAAAACGAAAACTCAGTCAGGATAGTTTGATCCATGTGAAACAGGAGCCAGAGCTCGGGACAATCGAGCACAGCTGCTCCAGCAGTGGTGCTGTCCTCGAGAGTGACGATGTGAACGGTGATAATTCGTATATCGACTCGAGTTATCAGTGCATCAGGTTTCATCCCTTTCAGCAGACCACCTGGCATGCACTGTGCGATCACAATCTCAAGGAATTGCCAACACCTCATTACAGGGTTGATGCTGACAAGGGATTCAATTTTAGTAACTCTGATGATGCATTTGTCTGTCAGAAGAAGAATCATTTTCAGATCACCTGTCATGCACAGCTACAGGGTGATGCTGTTTTTGTTAGGACTGGGGAGGGCCTTAAGAAGATCAGCAGCTTTCAGCTTCATTTTTATGGGGTCAAAGTAGAGTCACCCACGCAGACCATCAGGGTCGAGCAGAGCCAGAGTGACAGGAGCAAGAAACCTTTTCATCCGGTGGTGTAAGTTGTTGAATTCAATATTTCAAACTATTAACTCTGCAGCAATTCAATTCTCAACTATCAAAAATTTCGATAAAACAATAATAAAATCTAATTAATAATCTAATGGAATTCGTTGAAACCTCATCTCTTCACTGTGAAATTAATTTTTGTTAAAATTATTCCATGAACAGAGATCTTATTAATTTTTTTTTTTTAACCAAGAGTATCAATTGAACACTTCAAAGCAGCAATTTGACAAATTTTGTCAATATCCCTGACATCCATCAGTATCTTCATTACACTAAAATAGCACCCCTTTCAGGGTGGAACTGGGTGGCGAGCGTGTCACGAAGGTGACAGTAGGTCGTCTCCATTTCTCCGAAACGACGAGCAACAACATGAGGAAGAAGGGCAAGCCAAATCCAGACCAAAGGTATTTCCACCTGGTGGTTGGTCTCCACGCTCACACGTCTGATCAATCGAGCTATCAAGTGGTGGCCCATGCATCAGAGAGGATAATCGTCCGAGCGAGTAATCCAGGGCAATTTGAATCAGAGGGTACAGGGGTGGGAACCGAGGGTGGATGGCAGCGAGGAGGTGCTCCTGACAGTGTCTACCACGCAGGCCGAGTTGGAATAAACACAGACAGACCTGACGAGGCACTCGTCGTCCATGGGAACATGAAGGTGACAGGTCACATAGTGCAGCCCAGTGACGCCAGAGCCAAGCAGAATGTCCAGGAAGTAGACACGAAAGAGCAGCTGCGAAATGTCCAGCAGTTGAGGGTTGTCAAGTACAGATATGTTCCAGAATTCGCTCTCCACTCTGGCCTGGGGATCAAAACCTCGGAGGACACTGGTGTCATCGCCCAGGAGGTCCAGCAGATTATACCAGAGGCGGTTCTGCCTGCTGGAGATATCGTCCTGCCAAATGGGCAGAGAATTGAGAATTTTCTTGTCGTCAATAAGGAGAGAATCTTCATGGAGAACGTGGGAGCTGTCAAGGAGCTCTGCAAAGTCACTGACAGCCTGGAGACGAGGATTGATCAGCTGGAAAGGATAAACAAACGTCTGGCCAAGCTCAAGAGGGGCGACAGCCTCAAGAGCTCCGTCAGCACAGTCTCCAGTATAGCATCTGGCAAGTACTCATCCAGTGGCAAAAAGAATTCTGTGTCGAGGAGGAGTGAAAGGGAGGAGGACCTTCTCTGCAGCAACAAGTTCATCCAGATTATCATTGTTATTCTGATTTTAATTATGGCGTTTTGTCTCGTGGCCATGGCGACACTCTACTTCATGGAGTACCAGAAGAGGAGCTCACTGGAGTGGACTGCAGTTGCTGGTAGTGGAATTATGGGAATTGGTCCAGCTCCAACGCCACCGACAACACCAAATTACAATTCCAAATTTAATCCTCTGATTCACAGCACGCCATCGAGTTATCTCGGTAAACAGAGTGGTTTCACCAGGAGTGACAATCAGGCGACAGTCAAGGATGTGGGTCTGTCGACTCTGCCACCTGATACCAAAAAGCAAATTTATTCGCAGGAGATAACCTCGTGGTATCCATTTGGACACTCTGGAGGACAGGGGAAGCACGAGAAGAGTAACGAGTTTCCCAGCAATTGGTTAAGCAGGAATGGCGGTGGAGTTGTTCCCAGTAATGTCGATGAGAATGATCCTGGTGAGGTGGACAGTGCTGGGAGAAATCCTGTGCCCCTGGGGAGACCCCCCAGGTGTCCAATGCATTACACTACGTTGGGAAATTCGTGCCAGGTCTACTGCTGCACAGACATTCATCCCCTGGAGGATCCACACCCTGAGCATCCCCCAGAGAAAAAGCCCTTGGCAGATCACCTGGAACATTCAATCAGTTTAGAGGAGAAGAAGAAGGTGAATAAGGGGCTGCAGAATGGCATCAGTCCAGCTGACTCCAACACCCAGACTCTCGTCAAGGAGACAAACTTCAAATATCTTCATAAGAGGAGTCGGAGGGAGGCTGGAGGTGGCGAATGGGGAGAAGTGGCGAGTAATGCAGCGGGTTCTCTCCCCCCAGAGCCAAAACCACAGCTTCAAATCGTCGCCAAGACATTCAATGCAACTCTAGATCAGAGATATTGCTCAGTGGCATCACCAGGAACTCCAAATAACATCAGTTGTGATGTTCCACTCTCCAAGCACATGCCTGACACACATTTGACGCTTCATTTTCTGGGTATGCCTTGGTACTGGCAAATTGTCCAGCTCTGTCCTGTACAGTTGAATCCTGGAGAGTCCATGGTCTGCGGCTGGGGCTACACTAATCAGCAGCACCAGCAAATCAAGTACACTGAGAATGCCAATCAACATGGAGACCAGTCATTTCCCCTGGACGTCGCGTTCTACCTGAGGAAAACCCTCAGGTTCCGGGTTCCCACTGTTCAGCCGCAGGAAGACGTCTGCAAAAATGCACACTCCAGTGATTACATCGAATTCGCTCTCCACTTTCATCGGGACTGCGATGGTTGAACTCCGTACTCGGGACTTTCTATGATATTTCCAGAATGCAGGATTTCGTTGGAGCCACCACGTGTGAAAAAAAAATCAGCGAATAATTACTACTATTGATTTTTTGTCACGTAATTCCAAGCTCTGAGTAATTTTTAAAAAAAGGCAACTCTCGATATTCGTCAGGAATCGGATGTTCCTGATTCAGTGATAAATACATAAATGAACAATTGAGGGGAATTATGAGGGGGAAAATACGTAGAATACTTTTTTTTTCATTTTAGCGACTGAGAATTTTTTTCTCATGAGATTTATCGGAAAATTGTGAGACAATTTCAATCGATTGATGAATGGGGGATGGGGGGGATTCATTACTGATCTTTTTTTCAAGTGCACAAGACTATTGTAATCATGATAATAATCTACTTATTCTGAGGTACATTTGTATATTTTTCATGAATCGTATCATTACTGCAATTGCTCGGAGAATTTCAATTCATCACAGCTACTCAAAATTCCTTGTTAGATATTTTTTGATAACTTCCAGTACCTACTCTAGTTATATTACAATTAAGTTTCACTGTTGAAAATTTTTTTTCTTTTCTACAATTGGAGAATCTCTTATAACGAAATAGTATTAATTTCGGGGTTTGAGTGATGGAAGAGGGAGTAGTTTTGGCTTTGATGGAGCAGTTTTTACGATGGAATTACCCTAAATTGATCAAATTAATTATTAAGTGACTAGATACACGTGTAAATACAGCCCAATGATATTCCACTGAGAAAGTATTGATTAGTGATTAATTAATGTGAAGGATAAATGATGAATCGTAGTTTTATGGATGAAGATAAGGGAAATCATGATCACTCTTACGAGATATTCAAGATCTTCGGCTTTGAGCTTTTTTATTTATAGTCCCCGATTATTCGTACGTCATTAGTAAGTAATTATAACATTGGAAGGTGCAATAATAATGAAAGAATCTCGCAACTCGAATTTTAATGATATCAATGACATTGAATTGATCAACGAGAAGATAAATTTTGTAACGTAATTTGAGTGTGATACACTCATTTCGTCTGGAGAAAGGAAATTACACTTTAATGACAATTGGAAAAATTCTAGTTATTCCTATCGACAGAGAGAATTGAGATTTTTTGTTTTTAGATTTGTTAGTTTATTTTTCAAAGCATGACATGATGTATAGATTTTTTAGATTACTAGTCCCCTGAAATGACTCTGGCAGACGTTAAAGCGATAATTTCTGTTATTTTTCTCTTCTCTGGCGCTAAATGTCTATTGTTTAAGATAGAGTGTCAGTGCCTTTGTGGATTCAATTGTACATTTGAGAATGAAATTTTATGTAAAATGTATTATTGTACTGCATATTTATTAATATATCATTGAAATTATAACATTATGATGGTAGAATAAAGAATATTGCTCTGTGAATGACTTTCTGCTGGGTCTTGATTATTTCTTCAATGAAAAGAAATTACTCTCATCTTTTCAGAAATCTTGGTCTTTTGGATTATAAATTTTTGGGACCAAAGGACCAATTTGTCAATTTGTAAATGTTGTAATTCACTCTGTGCTGGATTTTGCTGGGAAGTAACTGAAAAAATTATTCAAAAAGAAAATAAAAAAATGAAAAGAAGACATTATTTGACAATAATCTACAATTTTTTATCCTTTTCATCATCATTTATTTATAATCATTGAGAGGATTCAGAAACGCGAAACAAAATCGGAATTTCGAAATATTTAACACGAAGAAAATAAAAATCAAATCAGCTATACAGTGACAAATATATGTGAGCCTTAATAATATATTTCCAATCACAGAAATAAATAAGAAAAACGTCGATACAAAAACTGCACTGTCAATTTCACCTATTTTAATTAATCATAAAAATTACATTTGTCAATTTATGTTTTATCCACAATATAATGTTATTCCATATTTCGTGTGACTGAAAAGCGACGGACTTCAATGAACATTTGTATAATATAACGCACTCTCAATTTCACTGACGTCCCATCGGAAAAGTAACAAGAAATAAAGAAGTAAAAAAATAAACAGGAAGACAAAAAAAAACATAAACGAAAATTGAAGGTAAAAAAATATACGATATAAATCGAAAAAATTACGACTAGCAATAAAAATGATACGTGAGGGGGACAAAAACATGAAAAACTCATTCACCAAACAGCTGTACAGATTATCGTGAATATTTTGTTCCACCAATGACGATCATATGTTAACATCGATCACTGATCTATTTTATGAAGTGCAGAACGGAACGATCGGACGAATTCCCTATCATCTATTACTCGCGCTATTCTTATTCAATAACTATCACCTGCAAGTATGAAATTATTCAATTAATAATTCACACCCTTATTCCTCGATATAATTGCTCAATTGTTTCAAAAACCCACACAACCTTGCGATACGATGGGTAATAATTGCACCTAAATTTTTACTAACTACGAATTATTATCTCGTACAGTTGTCATCGCAAACGAATATTCTCGCATTCGAAAAGATCATGAGACTATCGATGGAAATTCAATAGTGAAAAGCTGAAATATCTTACCTTCATTCCACATTCATCGCAGATCAACTGATATTCAGTAGATCCGTCGAATTAATTTTATCTCGACCTAAAATCTTGACCTAAAATTTTATTAATAATTCCATTTAGCTTTTCAGTATGGAATAATATTCTTCGTAATCTCCCAAATTCATCTGTTGTTGAGTAGAAAAAAAAAATTAATAATCCAGTGTCTGCTAATCACAATCTGCCTTATTTGTCCCTCCTGGCGTCCTCGGGTGTCTCTTCACGAACCGCAAGAACCATTCTTAACATAAGAATAGCCAGAACCTTGTCCAGAGGATCCATGAAGCCTCTCTGCATCCACTTTGGTATTGTGGTACGTGCATGAGAGAATCCAAGCTTCTGAAGAATGTAATCTATTCCATAAGGCTCAATGCTCTTTCCAGCCCAAGACAAGAGCCTCACCGTTGGCTCCAGATGCCAGGTTTTGCATCTGTACGAACGCCAGTCCTTAATGAACATCTCGGCTGGATCAAACTGCTTTCTCCTCCTCTCGTCTTCAGACATTGCCGGAGTCGTTGATGGATTTGAAGGACCTGAGGCACCACTCCTCTTGTCCTGGCTCTCAGGACTGTTAGCTCTTCCTCCAGGCCCCATTGTCTGCACTCTCTCCTTTTCACTGAGGTACGACGTGATAAGATCGTGGAGGAAGAAAAACGCCTCTGCATCGACTGTCACAAATATGTGGTCCTCGAATTCAGTGATAAAACTGCACTCCACTAGTGGCTTTTCACCTGGAGAGAACGGAGACATTTGAAGAACGGAAATTTGATTAATTGGAAGATTGATAAAACTCCTAATCCATGCAACAGAGCAACTACAATCATGAACGAGAGAATTAATCAATGTTTATCGATATTTCAGTAGCCAGGGATTGAGTCCTCAGGGGATGAGAAATCTATGAATCTAAACTACGTTGCTGCTGAATAAGAAACTCATGAGGAGAATTATGAGAAGCTCGAGATTGCTGTCGGGGATGGGGAGACACTAAACGGTTTTTACCAGTTTCAGTTGTCTTCGAGTACTTACTATACAAAATATGTTTAGGCAGTCCTAAAAATATACAGAGAAAGAGATTGCAGAGTACTATAAAGAATTAACGTAAGTTGAAATGGAATTCAAGTCGGTTTGGGAATGTCCAAGTACTTTATAAAATCATTTGAGACATTTAAAACATCAAAATGAAATATAAGATGATTAAATGAGCTGTGAAAGTAAAGTCCTTGGATATTCCCCAACTGATAAAGTTCACTTGCATTAGAAAATTCAGGAAAAGTTCAGAGATAAGCCCTCCACCGAAATGCCGACTAATGCAAGAGACACATCGACCACATAAAAATTTAAAATTCTTCAATAAAGTCTGGTTTTTACACAGACAAAAATTAGTAGAGAAATCCAGTGCTTTCTTTAGGAAACTCTGTACTTATAACATCTAATTGAAAATCTTTTTCCTGTTTCTGAAATTTTATCACCATCTACCATGAAAATAAACGCAAAATCAACCGCTGGTTAACAACAAGCTACATAATTCCAATTAAAACCCAATAGTTTTCGAAAGAAAGTGCGAGATTTTCCCACTTTATTAGAGAAGTGAAAATGTCGAAGAAAGGATAAACCCCAGATCTGAAACTCACCGATGACATCAGGTGTCTTAGCAGTCTGCAGATGTTCAGTCTTGAGATGCAGCTGCAATGAGGGAAGTGCGAATATGACCTCTCTGCCATGTGAATGTTCCTGGAGCTTTCCAGACGCAGACGACGTGCTCCTGCCCCTGGCCCCAGTGGTACCCTCAGTGCTCTGCTCGGTTCTCTCCCTCTCGACACAAGGGAATTTATCAACAGCATCAATCTCGCTATTGGCAAAGGCATAATGAAACCACTCCTGAAGGCTCTTGAATTGTGGAGGAAAGAGGACACTTCTACTGAGTTTACAAACAGTTCCCATGGAGTGATGTCTGGCGTGTTGCTCCTGCTGTTGCCCCAGTGATATCGTCAAGGTCTGAACAACATGAACATCACAAGTACTTGGAGACTCAACGTTGGGAATTTCCTGGGCCTCAGTGGCAAAACTTATACACGGCTCTTTGAGTGAGAATAACGCCCAGTTCTTGCTCTTGAAGTTGATCCCATGGAAGCAAGCCAGACTGATATTGGTTCCATGAAGTTCCATTGTTCCTCCCAGGACAGTTCCATTATTGGGTAGAGAAAATCTCAAACTTCCCAGCTGCAGCCCAGCTACCTGTGCTAAAACTCGCTGCCAATGTCTGTGATGTCTGGCATCAGATAGAGCTGTCTGGTTCATCGTCCAGGGTCCCTCCATCGTTGTCCTCTTCTTCTGGCCCCTCTTCTTGAATGAATTACTGGTTACTCTCTGTCTAGGCTGCAGAGAACTGAACACTCTTTTACTGCTTTTAAACTGCTGACTGAAGAACTCCTCCAGCTTATAAAACATCTTGAGAAGATCTGCTGTCGTTGACTTGGAGATCATAATCTGAAGTTGGTCCCAACCGAGATCCCCATGCATGAAGATTATCGCTGGTCTTCTGGTGGGCATGAAGGCATCACCAGAGTTACTCCTACTGATCTTCCACTCGTCCCTGAGTGTCACGTCCAGGGAGGAGACTCTGGTCATGAGAACACTCGTTCCCATGTAGTCTAGTCTGAGCTCCAGGGCGAAGAGCTTCAATCCCAGTGTGTGATCAGGCTCAGTGCCAGGTTCTTCTCTGATATGAAGGTAGGTATCGATTTTACTGAGATCGATTGTCCCACCCACGAAGCCACTCTTGGCATCGAGACTCGAGCCTCCCAGGCCAATTCCAATGTACAGATTCTTGTGTCCAGTGCTGCCAATTGATAATCTCCCATCGGAGCGAAAGTCTTTGGTCATCCATGCAACATTCCCCATGACATTTCCCATATTCATATGTACATTCAATTTGGTAAAATTAATAGCAAATAGCACCAGTGTCTCCCACGCTGATTCCCGAATCTTAACACCAGAATTTGTTGTGTATTTGTCCGATGAGGTGAAGCTCCAGCCTCTTCCAATGTCCTTGAGACCTCTGGTCTGCCTTGGAAGCTCACTGTCAAAGCTCAATCTCAATTTGTCCCTGGTGAGTGTTGGACTAGGTTCGGGAGCACTCTTCGAGAGCATATCCCCAGGAGGATATTTATCACAGTGTTTGAGGAGTGATGAGCCCATAGCTGCCTCCTCCTGATTCAACAAGGGACTGTTTTCCCCTTCATAGGACGCCATTCCCGAGCTTAAATCACCTAAAAATAATCTCCTAACAATGCTTCGCCTGTACCAGGCTTTTGGAAACGCTAGGATTTCCGTTAATCTCCTCATGTCGTACTTGAAGGAAGCTGAACCAATATCGACGATCGTTGAGAACCTGATGACAGCTCTGCTGGTATCACCACCTTTGCTTAATTGTTCACTGTGGAACTTTAATTTTCTACTTCTTGATAAATTGACTTTGACGAATTCAACGTTTATACTGAGGGAATCCTTTCTCTCGCTGTCTGACAGTGGTGACCACTGCGTCTCCTTCAGTCCTGACTTCTTGCCACCCCCATAAGGATGAAATATATACACTGAAAAATCAGCGAGACAGCCTGTCAATGATAATCCACCAATAGCTGATTCACTCTCTCTGCTTCGACTAGACGTGCTGTTTTGGTGATTATTCATGTCATTAAACTCTGGGAGCTCCTCCTCAGCTCTTTTACTCGATGCCACTATGTCCAGGGATGGTAATTGAAGCATACATTCAACTCTCGACACAGGTAAACACGAGAACCTGAATGTCGATGGTTGACTGTGGAAATAAACGATGACATCAACTGGAAAACTGGCATAGACGTAGTTGGAGCTTGCTGCTGTGGCAGCCCACGAGGAGCTCTCATTTTCCATCGGAAACACGGAGTTTGTCGTCTGTCCACCACCTGGGAGAAGTATTTTTCCGGGGATTGGTTCCAACGTCTGCTCCAGATACTCAAGAATGTGGGGACTTATGATAGTTTCCTCTGGAATACTCTGGAGGGTCACCCAAGCCAACAAACTCGCCTTCTTCGTACCAATTTTTCTAGTTGGAAGGGACATTGGATTCGGCTGTTGATTTGAGTCTTCAGGAAGTGTTTTAGATTCATAATGAAGCTTAACGTCGAGCCCGGGAATATGAAAAATTGATAAATCAACTAAAGGTACAGCAGTCATATGTTGGAAATATCTCACTCGAGATCCAGTGGATGACGTTTTCTCCTTTCCACTCACGTGTTTTCTGGTGGAACTCGGACTACTTGGTTGAAATTCGAAATTTCCTCCTGAACACGATCTCTCTTTCTTCATTCTACTGATCAACTTCAGCTCATCCTCTCGATTAGGATCCTTCGTGTGGAGGACACATTTCCCAGAATTTATGAGAACTTTAACGTCAAATTCAAAGTCTATGTTGGGCTCCTGGGGTTTCTGGGGGATGATGTGGGGTGATGAAGTCGTGGAGGTCTGTTCTCGTGCAAAATAGTCGAGCAGGGGAGCATTTCCTTCCATGCTGTCGTAGCTTGACGCACAACTGCCATCTGGCCTCTTCCTCCTGAGTTCCACCTGTTCCCCTTCGATTTCCATGGTCTCTGGAGGCCAGTCAATCTCACCCTCAGGCAAACTGAGCTCCGACGAGGCACTGGGTAAAGAGGATTGACGACACATAGTGTGAGTATCGCTGAATGTTACCCTGGGACCTCCCAGGTTCCTCACCCTGACCGATGCGGATCGACTGGGACCACTTCGAGGGCTGCTTTCATAGCTAGCGGAATTAGCAGAGTTGACGTCTGCATTGAGATCCTCAGGGGACTCTAACTGGTGCTCTGGAGTAGGTGAGGGGACGATGAAGGATCTAGATCTGTAAGTATTCGATTTGGAATCCAAACCTAGTTTTCCTTTTATGCCAGAGGCCTTCACCGACTGCCTCTTCAGCTTCTGGATCATATCACGTCGGAAATCCTTGAAGACCACTGCCTCCAGCTCCTTTAGACGCTTCATCTCCTGCTCGATGGTACCATGAGAGGCCCCCAGAGATCGCAGGTCATTGATAATTTTCGCCTGCTCGTTCATTTCCTTCTCAATTAACTTTGAACGCTTCTTGGCATCTAAGGAGGGATCAAAGACAAAGGCTGGGAGGCTGTCTGTCCAGTTCTTCGATTTTTTTATTAGGATGCTCTCCTGTAATCCGACGAAATACTTTATTTCAGGGGATTGAATACTAGACTCTTGCAGAGTTCCAGGGAAAGACTAGAGAAAGTCCGAAAAATTGTAATTCTTTGAACCAATCCACAATCAAAAAAATGTCCAGGTAATTTACAAAATTAAAAATAAATATTCAAATGAATTAATTAAAATTCACCTCTCTTGTCCTTCTCGTCGAAAAGGGGAGGGACAAACAGGATTTGGATGATATTACATTACCAACATAAGTTCAGCACAAAAATAAAAATAAAAGGTACACCCTACTTTTTTCTTAACCTGGCTAGTTCCAAGATTTGGCTGATCAACGTCATCGCTGTCATAATCAGCTGATGCATTGGCGTCGTCTTCCTCAGATCCAGTGAGCATCGTCAGGGTGTGCCCCAGTGCCGAGAGCTGCTGTCCCACGTTAGTGTCCAGATGAATATCGACCCCTTCCATCTGCCACTGGACATTCAGAAGCCACTTGGCATTGTCTAGGGAGCAGAATCAATTTCACTTTATTTCATTCAATAATAAAAAATACTTTTACATACAATCCAATTTTTGATTTTTAAAATTTTTATTTCGACTTATAATGAAGAGAGAGAGAAGATGAGGAAATAAACAAACTCACCAGATTTGTCCTGTTTCTGTGCCACAGTTCTGCTGCAAATCTCGTAAGTCCCTTCAGACACGACACAGAGGTTCATGATATTGCTGTCGTTCATATCAGGTTTCCAGTCATCCAGAGAGGTCTCAAAGTCGTCAGCAAATCTCAAGCAGAGTCCCACGAATCTCCCTTTGCTGACCAAGCTCCCACTGCTGCATGCGGAGATGCTAGCAGTTTCCAGAGTCACAACGACAGCTCCCCTGGACTCGCCATCGTACAATCCCCTCGTCATCCCCCAGTTGTTGGGAGGAAGTGGATTCAGAGGGACACAGATTCCCATATCGTCGACCGTTAATTGCAGAAACAATGTCCCCAGATTCTGAGAGCTCAATTGCGACGTCAACTGTCCAAATGGAACTTTCTCGAATACCTGCTGAGTGGCTGTGAGTACTTCCTTATTGAGATTTGCTCTCTTCTCGTTCCAATACTCATAAGCATTCTTGTAGTTCAACCAGACGAGAATGGCCTTGTCAATGGCCATGGGTTGAATATAAATCAGAGGCCTCTTCAGAGTTATCAGAACAACTTCATTGTCAGCCTCCTGAGACATCTCCTCCTGGAAGGCATTTCGAAGGTCAACTCTGGTATTGAAGAACGCAAATTGCTGGAACTCTGGCTCTGCCTCCTCGAACATCACATTCTTCAACAGCTGTCCTAGCGATAGATTGATGTCTAGCTGAGCTTTACCGAAGAGTTTGGTGTTGGGATTTGGCTGTGCAGAGCCCGAAACATTCTGAACCCTATTGGAGAGCTGGAATTCCACAGCACCGGTTTCGAAACGAAGAGCGGAGTTCGTTGGTGTTGTTGCAGTCAACTGAATCCTCTTCAATCTGATGACGAGAGAGAAGAGTATTCTCTTCAAGCTGGAGGTTGCAGTGGGCTCCTCGTCCTCCAGCCACAGGGGCACTGGCTTCTCCCCACCATAGACTTTCTGCACGACCTCATTGACTTCTTTCATAAAGACCTTCTGCACGAAAACAAGATGATTCAGTAGATCAGTGGTCAGGGAGTTCTCGAAGACCCCAATATCGGCTGTGGCGTTCAGGTAGCTTCCCTGCTTCAAAACAACCCCATCAGCTAATTTACTGTCATTCAGACTGCTGGAGCCATCCTGGATGTACTCAGCAGACACGTGAACCTTTGGCAGCTCGATACTAGCCTCTGATGGCAGATTAGCCTCAGTAACTTGAAGCTTTGTGGTGAAACTCAGAGAGTGATGAGGCAAATCAATAGTGAATTTAGCTTTACTGCCAGTGGTCCCTGAAGAATTCACCTGGTCCATTTTATACTGGGCTTGGAGGGAGGGTAATAAGGCAGCAGTGATGCTCAGGCTCTGAAGAATAATGTGAAATTGCATGACAATGGGCTCGAGGAGACTGGGTCCAGCCACTGGTTTCTCTTCAGGTTCACTCTGCTTCTCAACATAATGATGAGGACTACCGGGGGCGTCTGAGTCCTCCTGCTGTTGACCTCTGGATAATCTCGACGAAGTTCTCGTGACTCTCAGCTCCTGTAGTGTCGATGATAACTGCTTACTGCCCCTCGTCATCATCCCATGAAGGGCCACTGGGTGTTGGGGGATATCCACGTTGACAGCACCTATCGTAAACAGCCCACTGTTTTTATCCTTCTGACGTCTCGATACACTCGAGTACAGGGCCTGGCTCTTTCCCACTGTCACCTTCACCACAGTCTGCTGATTCGGGGCGACACCCTCCAGCAACACAATCATGGTCCTCCCAATTTGTCCAGTCAAACTGCACTCCAGACTCGCAGGTTTGGATTTCTTTCTGCATGTGAAGCTGGCATGCAGGCTGGTAATCTCAGCCTCGAGTTTGAGACCACTCAAGGTCGCTAAGAGCCTTGTACGATGGATCCTTGCAACGCCAAAGATAATAAGACGTGTCCTCTCCCCAGCTACGACATTCATGTCCCTCTGAGGTGGAACTGGTGTGAACGAATGATCGTTCAATCCCTTCTCGACATCCTGGTCCTTCGTCTCGTTAAGATTCTCGTATTTTTTTCCACCCTTATACTGCTCTGAATCCGCTGAGAGGGAAAACCGGTGGGTTATAGTCTTCGTCTCTGGACGAGTGGCGTACAGGTCCAGGAGATAATAAATCGTTTTCCAGCAGCGAGGTGTCACATTGGATGGATCTTTGCATTTGTCCGAGATAATGGAGATTTTCTCGAGGCCTGAACTGCTGGGACTGGCGCCGAAGCTGGGGGTTATCACACCCTCTGACAGGTTAATGTAACCCTTGACGCTCTTTCCAGTGCTTCGGAATTTCTGAACAAAACTCTGGGGTCTGGAACGAATGCTGGAGGAGGGAGATATAACTTTTGGCTGTGTGGGATCGAAGGGCTTTCTCAGGATGGGCTCCTCTAGCTTTTTATCGAGGAGCAATTGCTCTTGGATATCAGAGTTCGAGGAGAGGCCTTTTTTGATGGCTCGATCATCGCTGACAGGATTAGCTCCCCGTTTTGGATCTGGCTGCTGCTCTTTCAACTCCATCTGGGTCTCTTTGACGTTCTGGTACATGTTGCTGATCTGGTGGAGCAGCCGCAGCAGTGGCATGTTCACCTGCTGGCTGATGTACCTGATGTGAAGACTAAAATTGACAACTGTACTCGTGTGCTTTTTCAGTTGCCCTCTGGAAATGTACAGGACGTTCTGACGTTGAATCATGTCGTCCACTGTCATGTCAGCCATCTTCTTGATGTCGATGTCTAATCCAATCCTCTCACAGAGGAACGCTGGCGTCTCCGGGGGAATATCCAAAGTGAATTTCGAACCCTTCTTTGGTAACTTCGGGGGCTTCTTCTTGTCCACCACTTTACCGAGTTCTGAAACCACTATGTCAATCCTCATTGTGTCCATTGTCCCCACCAGCGATAAATTCGAACCCAGGGAATCCAGGGACGAGACATTGTTCAGATTTCCAGAACCTATTGCTGATAACATCTGCTGGGGCATCACTGAGAGAGACGACAGTAGTGGCTCAAAGATCAGGTGAGCGTCCAGAAGACGAAGTGAATCTTTCATCGGATAGAGATACGCTCCACTCTGCATGTCAGAATCCTCCGTGTCGTCTGTTGTCATTGTGTTTATCTTGGAATCCTGGAATATTCCCTTTTTGATAATCCCTTGATGTGAAACACGATATAATGCATAATAAATACTATAAAGAGACATTGAACAAAAAAAAAAATTTTTTAAGTATTTGAAAATTGACATTCTTCAATTGATAAAAATAATTCATTCTCAGGGAATTTTTAACAAGTGAGAATACCTTAGCTGCCTTCTGCTCAGTCCGAAAGACCTAAGTACCACAGGACAATCACTTTTGATATGAATTTACAAAAAATTTCAGTAATAAATTTTCCAGTGAAAATACTCAACTCTAACAACGAAACGCAACGAGGGAAAATAATTGAGGAATTATTCCACTGATAACAGAACATTTAAAACTCACTTTTTCTCGAGAAAAAAAAATCAATCGCTTCTTTTAGTGGAGAAATCTATTAATTTGCGAGTATTTACGATTGTTAATTAAGATTTTGGGTGATTATTTGCACTCACCCAATTGCCCCTCAAATTACTCTTATCGTTATCTTTGATGAACTCCTGTTGCTTTGCCATCCAGCTGTAGAGATCTTCCTCGGTGTTGATGTGTCCTCGAGAGTGGTGAATGGTTGGGGATGTCATGTCATCACCACTGGCAGTGCTGTGATGACTGCCATGACCACCGGAGTAAATGCTGGGATTGGAGCCCAGTTGATGGGAATGGGAAACGTGGATCTGGGGCGGTTTTTCTTCTCGCAGGGTCCCATAACCTGTGGACATTTTTTATTCGCAGGAAATCGTTCGAGCGGACAGAGTAAGCGAAAAGGCGGTGAACAAAGTGCCAGTGTGACATTGATACTTGTTCCACCAAGAAGCAGGTCAACTACGACTCGTGCACTGTTAAAAATTTGAACTTTACGACGGGGATATTCTCCAGAAAAAAATTTCCTCAAAGAATTGATTTTTAAGGAGTAGAAAATTTGGAAGTCTTCCATTTCTACTGACTCCATCATTTCTTGTGTGATTTCGATCGAAATTGTTTTTGAATAGACATCATAATTTCCGATTTTTTGTGGCTGAATGGAATTCCTCAGAATATTAGGGAGAGACAATTTAATTCGAAATCCAACTCATGCAATGGTTGATTTAACATACTTCCATCTCAGATAATAATAGTACTCTCAAAGTTGGGGAAAATAGAAAAATGAAAAATTAATTCTCATTACACCCCCAGTAGATTTTCTTTAAAATGATATAAATAAAATTTTGAACAGTGTAGAGTTTATTATCTTGAGTATATAACAAACCCTCGGACAGGTAAAGCCCGCTAGGAAACCCCAAAGATAAAGACTCATGCAGATTAAATAAAGCCAGTGTTTCCCCTGCCAACTTACTAATGTTGTTAGGATCCTTGGGCTGACTGAACAGTCCACCACCAGCAAGTAATGGAAATACGATACTGGCACGTGAACTGACCGGTACCTGAGTGGGTTGAAGTGACTTTGCCCTTTTAGTATGTACAACAGGGGGTGATGGTGATGTTAATGAATCTGTTTGTGGTACCGGTGTTGACAGAGGGGTTGTCTCACGACCTCGTGGTGAACTCACTGGCACCGTAAGACCATCACCTTTATCCCATATCATCCCATTTAACAAGACAATCACAATTACGACAACGAAAAGAAGAGTGTCAAGCAGCTGAATTATTTACAACTGTTGGTCAACGTTTGTTAGTGCAGAATGATAACAATTACTACCAGCAGAAAAGCTCTTGCCTGTTGGCAAAAGTCCAGGTCAATCGAATTACTGATGCATTTCGTCGCCTTAACGTTATTTTTTCAATTATTTAATTCAATTGCCAAATGCTTGGATTGCGCCACATGATTTTAAGGCGACGATATCATCGATTTAATGACAACTTGAAATTTAGAGATCGTAGGGATCCGTTTTCACGGTGGAAATGTTATTTTTCATTCTTGCAGTGTGACATGTACCTGTCGATTTTTCCTGTCCAACTTTAATCTGCGTGTGCTTGTACATGTGATCCGTGTGGATGAGCATGGCGCACTCGTCAGTGACTTCTTGGTCATCTCCATCCCCAGCACTACCTTCACCGTCCGTCAGCAAATTCTCCTATTTTTGAAGCAAAGCCGAGAAGGAAATATGGTGATATGGGGTGAACACTAATCGGTGGGGTGAGTGGTTATTCTGCGGGGATTGCATCTATTTTTTTAATGCCTCAACCATTTAACCATTTAATTAACATTAACAAAATGTAGAGGTATTTTTCGAATTAAAAAACACGAAAAAGGCTATTTTTGGGGGAAAACAATTAATTCTTGATTGAATACTTTGCGAATATTTTTGCAAAAAAAAAAATAGTGCAATCCCATCTCAAGATAAATTGAAGGTATTGAAGAAATCATCTCCTTGGAAATTTCAATTCCTTCAATCTTGCATTAGTATTCGTTCATATTACTTGCTTAGGTTCAATGGAACTAGTATGATTCAATGACACTCAACGAGAATAACTATCAACACACTGATCTAATCTAACGCAGAGGCCCCCGTCACTGTGCAAATGCTCGCTCTGTACTTGATAATTCGGAATAAGCAAGCCCCTGTGAAGGCAAACTCAGTGTCGTAATAATTTCGATAGTCCGAACCAATTGTAAACAAAATTAATAAATCTTACGCCTCTTCTTATCAATAGCACCCATCACTGCTTTTTTTCGTACGGAGTGTCCCTACGAATTATTCTGTGTTCAATTATGATAATTATCCGGAGAAAACCTAGTGATTATTCGAGGACATCCAAGTATTTTTTCTAAACGATTCGTGCGAATCGAGGATTTAATTATTGCATTGTGTCTCCACTTCATGTCTGGAGTAAAAAGATATTAACGAAAAAAAAAAAATACTCGCATATCCTCAACGGATTGATGAAATTACAAAGTAATGGGACTCACGTCATCAGGATCAGAGACAGCGAATGTGACATTCAGAGGTTTGACATGTTTGGTCTTGTAGTTGTGCTCCAGGAGCAATGGAGTATAGAGAACATTTTTCCACTGTCTACTGAGGACAATCACTCCCTGCCTCAGGGTAGACAGGAGTGGCAGTTCATTTTCCCTCAGATTGGCATCAATGATCATCAGCTCACTCATCAGCACGTAATGCTGAAGAATAGAGCAGAGCTGACAGGATGGATCCTCCTGGAGTGTCTTAGCCAGAGGTGTGAGTCTGCCATATCTGCTCTTGATGGGCATGTGAATTCCCTGGACATCGAGGGCCTCAGCCATGAGGCAAGCCACAATAGCAGTAGATCTCCTGTACATGCTCCTGAACAGGTGAACAATTCTTATTGCAAATCTATTGCTGGGGTTCATCCAGGCATTGATTGCAGGCGATGCTGTGCTCAGTAGATTCCAATCCAGTCTCGTGAAATCGATTTTCCTGGTGATGGGTGTTCTGGGTGGGGCAGCAAAATTAAACCAAATTGTCTTTAACTCGATTATGCAAGACACTGTATTGCCATTTGCCATTTTAGTCACGAGACTCGTTGACGTTTGTTTTTTATCGTCCACCTCCTTCTTATCGCTCTTCGTGGTTTCCTCATCAGCCGCAGGTGTCGAGTCCTTGGTCTCGATTTCCTCGTGACTCTTGACACTGTCTGTGTAAAAAATTTCGGTCTCCTTCTTCTCATTCTGCCCATTATCTCCCTTTTCGAACTGTGACCTCTTGACGACTTTCAGTTTAATCCCCTCAAGGCCACATTCAAACATAATAAATCCGAGTTTATCCTCTCCATTGCCACCAGTGAACTCCTCAGTGGCCTGAGAACCCCCTGCCTGTTTCCCCTGCTTATCCCTTCCAGAGTCCTCACTGGGCTGATGGAGATAATAATCAATGCACTTGAGGGGTGATGATATCCTCGTGCAGGTGAACAGAACTTTTGAGTAGTGTGCAGGAATAGCAGTGATGACAGCATCCTTGAGGATCGACGACTCGTTTCTGAGTCTTCTCAATTGGGAATGAACCTTTCCAATATTCAGAGTGACGATAATCTCCTCTTGCTGCTTCTCAGAGGTCTCGATGTAGACCGTCTCCCCAGCTCCAATATCAGTGACAGCAGCTGACTGGTGCCCAGTGAGAAAAGCCTTGCTGATTTTATTGACTTTCTTCTGATTAGGAAGAACAGCCGGTTTGTGGAATGTCTGCACCACCTCCCTCGCCTGTTTATCTAAGTAAAATCGAGCTGTCACTTGATCCAAGCAAATGGCGAATAACGATACACAGGTAAGATCTCTGATGTTGTCGAGTGCTGAGAAGGAGATGATCTCCTCGACTACCGATGCCTGCAGCAGAGTTATATTGATCTTCGGGAGGATTATGCTACCCTGGACTTGCGTTGTGATGCTCTCCTCGTAGACATTTGTCTGGAGAGCTATTTTGCTCGTCTCATCGCCCTGTCCCAGCTTGACATTCCTCTCAGCAGTCGATCTCTTCGAGCTCGTCTGCACCTGACTCCAATACGACAAACTCTGATCCTGCTTCAGAATGTTAGCGTCCTCGACTCTTCCAATGCACTCATTATGCAGGTGATTGAGGATTGTCAGGGGATGGAGATTGGCCAGAGTTGGTGTTAGGGCATCGATGAATCGCTGGAGAGACTCGAGGACCATTGGGCTCAGCATAATATCAGCATCACCCTTCAGCTTGACGATTACAGTGGTCCTGGAGCCTGTCTCGTGTTGCACAGCGAGCAGCTCCTCCTCGTCTTTGCCAGTGTTGTCCTCCTCACTCTCCGATTGAATGAGTGCTGAGTTATCCCAGAGATAAGGATGAGTAGGGGTTTTGTTGGAGGATCCAGCCAGAGGTGAGCTATCATTTCTCGTCACCATCTTCAGGGAGGTGAAACCCTCGCTGACAGTCTCGAATTTCGGAACGTATTTTCCCCCAACGTATACCAGTCTTCCCTCATCAGTTCTCCTGAACATTGGAGTGGTGAAGGCATCACTGGATGAAGGAAAGGACGACTGCTGCCAGTTGGCGCACTTTACCTGACTCAAGTGGCTGACATAACTCGACATGAGGAGGGGCGAGTCGACGATTGGCTTGTTCACCTGCATATGGAGATTGACGAGAGTCATATCCTCCTGGGAGGACACAGCTGATATAAAACTCGAAGATGAACCTGAATGAGAGTCTGATGAATCCAAGATCTTTCGTTCACTCGGTGAATTTCCACTCTTCCCTTTGAACTCTCGATTCTGATTGGACTTTGGACTCTTCCTGGATGAGGTGTGGGGCTTTGTTCGCTCCAGAGTGTGAGCTTTCTCTGTCACCAAAATCGTTGAACTCTCGACGATTGAGAGATCTGAAGAATACTTCTTCTTCGTGCTGTCATTTCTCACTAGGGTAGGACCTGCTGAGGCTATTGATTGACGAAGACTCGAGGTTCTGCTCTCTGCTAGACCGTGACTCGTGTCCTCGTCTGCAGAGTAAAATGCTTCTGAGTGGTTCTCCGAGGACATAGAGATGGTCCTCTGGACCTCTTGCTTCAGTCTGTCCTCAGATTCTGATCTCGTGTAGAGGGAGTGCTGGGAGTCAGAGGCATTAACTCTGTCGGTGCTCTTTGCAAGTGGAGCTATCCTCAAGGACTTCAGATCACCAGTGACACTTGGCAGGGAATGGGGAATCGCTGACTGCTGCAAGAGTTCTGTCTCTGTTGGAGTGGTGAAGTAGTCGACAGCAAGTTTTGAGTCTGAGGCACTGCTTTTCGGACAATTCTCCATCTCTGGAACACTCAAGATGGATTTACTTCGTTCTGAATTGAGTTTCGAGTCTGAGTCGAGCTTCTGTGGGAGCTGGGTCGAGGGAGAGGCGTCCACCAGTCGTGAATAAGGAACATCTCGTAGGTTTGGACTTCTGATGGAGGTGTATGAGAAACGACGGGATAGGAGCTTACGATCACCTGTTGGACTCTCTGAGGTTGTGCTCAATTTTGTGCTCAGGCTCTCGTCGTTGGTCGAGTCTATGGCTGATGTTGAATGCTCGACACTCGGTTTCGAGGTCTGAGGGGTCTCTTGGAGCACTGAGGGCTTTACACCCGACCCTGGCTGGACTGTGTCCTGGAGGGAGACGTCTTGCAGGCTGTAGGGAGGTGTGTGGAAGACCAGCTTGTCCTCTTGGAGAATTGACTGGCCGAAACCTTTTTCTTTTCCTGACGTGTAGAGTCTGCAAATTAAACATATAAAATGGAAATATTTACCTAGAAAATGAGAAAAATTATTATCATTTGCAATAATCACATGGGGTGGGATGGCGTGAGGGGGGAGGGGGAAGAAGTAATTACTTTGGCATATCATTTCATCTGTTTTTTTTTTAATGTCGAAAAATCCATCGGTATAACCCCCCAAAATTAATGACAGCCATCACCTGCGATGGATGTAGAAAAATGCCTAGACAAAGATTATTTGGACTTCATATCTCGGTCTCACGAATATTACTCGAAACTGCTCGACGATGAAGCACGAAATTTGTGTGAAAACTGGCTGGTGAAAATTCTGGGTCAGAAAGTCGATGGAGTCCGCGACAAACGAAATCGAAATATATTCATGATGCACCTGTTGACACAGATGCAGTCAGGGGAACTCACAGGGATTTTCTCCAATCCACCAGGTGAAGGAGATCTTCCCTCATCAAAAAAACTCTTTGACAATTCGAATGACGACGATGAAGAAAGGGCTGAGGCAGTCATTGGTAATTGGTAATGAACTTGAAATATTAGAAATAGATAATTATTAAATCGGACAAGTTCTTCAATTAAGAACGAAAAATCAGTTAGTTTCCAATGACATTTAAGATAAATCAATAATTATGAAAGATATTAATTTTGAGATCAGATGCAGTCATTCAATGATTTTCCAGCAGATGACATCAAGGAGTTGTCTGACGAAAGATCTGCGGATGCTAGAACTTTCTACGCATTTCGTCATCTGCCTGATAATCAAGGAATGTACGGATTCATATCGTTGACCCTCGATCCCACAGACGACATCGACTACGAGATAAATCCTTGTACTGTTGATCAAAGCCGATTGGCACATGCCAAGGCCATGCGTAATTTCCAGGCAGGCAATATTTTCACCTGCTCCGAGCCCTCTGAACGCCAGATGGAGGATTTCTACTTGAACAACGTGGAGCAAAGAATATCTGGGGACGTTTCGAGAATGTTTGAGGACCTGCAAGCTGCCTCAGAACCCAAGTGCCTGAAAAAAGCTCAGGATCAATCTTTCCTGGATGATGCATTGAAACAGATAGACAGGGAAATCAAAGGAGAAGCCAGGGGGGATCATAAACTGGTGAAGTTTCTCTCGAGTAGATTGGGGGAGGACCTGAAGAGAGACCCCAGAATGAAACATATAGTGGATCTGCCAGATCAGCAGAGGCACTTGAGAATCCTAGAAATTCTGAGACAGAAATTGGTGTTGAGGTTGAGTTCTGAATTTTTTTATCAAATCATATTTACGTTGATACGAGAGATAAAATTCTTCAAGTTTATTTCGTCAAAGGATTTTAAAAAATCACTTCAATTTTTTGTAATTAAATCGTATTGAATGGATTTGGAGATGATTTTTCTACCCACAGGAAACAGGAAAAGAAGCAAAGGAAGTTGCTGACGAAAATGGAGGAGAGGATGATGAAGGACTGGGGCTGTTCCTGCAAGGAGGACGAGAAGTCGAATCGTATGTGGACTCTGGCTGTCACTCGACCCTTAAAGGAATCGGTTATGAGGAAATTGCAGGAAAATTATCCTCCAGAGATAATCCCAGTGTTCCTGGAGCTTCTGTCTAACGATCGTCAGGTAATTTTGGAGAATGGATTGCAACGCCAGCAGGATCTCATCGAAAGCATGAGGGTAGAGGGGTATCGAGATATTCAAGTGCACAAAGCTGCGTACAACAACGCACGAGATTCCTACAGGTATTCCAATTAAAATAATCTAATGATGAAAATGTAAAAAAGCTTCAAGATTTAATTTTTTTCAATTTCTTCTTATCCTTTTTGTTTCAAGTTCTATCTGCAGTAATTTATTTTATCGAAAATAGGGAATGGAATGAAATTCTGTCGAACGTCCAGGAGGTGATGTTCAAAGCTGGCACCGAAGACAGAGAAAAAAATGACGATGATAGCCCCGATGGCTCAGAAAATCTCGTGATAGACATGATGGCTCAGATGAAAGAGACAGAGCAATTGATTGCCGATGAGGCACGCAGGGGCGACGATATGACATCCAAAATATACGAGATCAACTCTTGGACGTTCTCTACTGATCGAGACAAGGGCAAGGACTGGTCTTGGGAGGTTAAACTTGAAGTGGAAAAGTTGAAAAATAGTGTCAGCGAATATCAATCAGTTATTCAACGGCAGAACCAGAGAATCAAGTACTTGAAGTCTGAATTAAAGTCTAAATCGACTTGATTTTAAAGAGAAATGAAAATAAAAAATGAAAAAATTAATTGGAAATTTTTTCCATTTCGAAATCAATGACATTTTTTTTTTGGAAACTCTTGTCCTGAATTTTCTGTCAATTGACATTTAAATTAGCCGACTTAATTAGTTCACAATCAGTTGGTAAATACCTCCCTCTAGTAAATATTTGTGAATATTTTTCGAAAGCAATTTTCCTTGATAAATTTAAAAAGATCCAAAAGTGTCTTCAGTAATTCTTAATTAAAATAATTCTTCGACACTGACCTGTACGCAGCAATGTTAATTCCATCCTGAAGATCATGATACGTGGGTTTGAAGAATCTGGGGCCATTCCTATTTCCCCCAAAGAATGCGCAGCCACCGATGCAGCCACACTTGGCAGGTTTCACACCACTCTCCTGAGGCCACAAAAACCACAGCCTCTTGGTTTTCTCATCGTGAGTTTTCAGGTACTTGTTCTGGACAAGATGTAGATTGTGCTCAGGTGTGGGTAGAGAGATGGCAGCCTCGATGATAACAGGTCCCAATGAAACAGATCCGACCTCCAGCCAGACGTCAGCCCCATCCCCAGACATTCGACTGCTGGTGTTGGTGTGGGACCTGGCACTCCCAGTGGTGTTGGTATTTGAATTATTCGCAAAATGCCCACCTCCATAGACAAACTGTCTGATCAAAACAGTTGGCATGAGTCCAGTGACCCCAGATTTCACCTGATGCCCATGTAAATTGCACGTGGAGATTCTGATGGGTGAAATCCACAGCTGAGTAGCTGTTCCAGCTTCCTGAAGATAGAGATCAATGGCATCAACAGCAACTCTAGTCATCCTGTACTTGATATCCTCTGAACTGGGACACCTGTAATGACTGTCAGCATCACTCTCAGGGCACTGGAGAGGTGGTAGCCCATGGTGGCACTGATGAGGCAATCCAGGAGGTCTGAGAATATTCTCCTTATTCATCACCATCAGGACAAAAGTCTCGAGGGAAGTGACGAGATGATGCAACTGAGGAGAAGTGATTTTACCACTGAGTTTCCCCAATTGTATTTCAATCAACCAGGCGTACTCCAGTGTCTCCTGATCCAAACTTCGTCCCTCAGAGCTGAACATGGCATGGCCCCTCACCTGGAGGGCAGATAGCATCAGATGGCCCTGTGTCAGGTGTCTCTCTTTACTCGATCTTATTACATTATCAGTCAACAGCAGAACAGCAGGGGAAAGCAACAGCTGCAGCTCAGTCTCCCTAAATCCCTTCTTCAACTCAAAGCCAAATCTCTCCAGGAGAATTACAGGACAGGGTGGATCATTCTCGCTACAATTTTTCACCAGATGACCCTGAATATCGTGCATGGTGATACCAACAGTGACTTCAATGGGCCGATAATGTCTGGGATCGAAGGGCTTCGAGGATTTGGCGTCCTCGTCCTCCACTGACGCCTCCACCGAGCTGTTCTGATTATCCCTGTCCTTTCTCTCGGTACTCTGGACCGTTGGACGACTCTGTTGCATGTCTGTGAACGCCTGATAATCGCCGAAGATGTTCTCCTTCAGGTGGAGAAAATTTTTGATGAGGGAACCGTAGATAATGAGAGTTGAGGGTCCAATTTCGAGTTCTAAACTGACTTTGTCTGGGGCTATCGACTGGGGATCAAATTTCTGGCTGCCATCCTGAGTCCACTGGAGTCCTGGTGACTTTCTGCACCTGGGGATTCTCATGGGGGACAGGAGTATCTCCTCCTTCTCTGGGGTTGTGATGTTGGCTTGGGGTGTTGGTCCCAGTGGGGGACAAGGATGGTACGTGTAGTGGATACTGATGGCGACGATTGGAACACTCCAGCAGTCGATCCACCCCAGGCTCTTCTGGCACACATTCCTCCACTTCTTCTGTGTCGTCAGATCCGATAGCTGCTTGCACGTTCCATCCCTCGTCATGATCTTGGCGTTTTTGTCCAGTGCCAAGAGAATTATCCTACTTGTATTGACCTCAGGCAGGTAGAGAGACAAATCAACACTCTCCCCCTGGATCCAAAAGCCCAGGGGAATCGTCACTGGGAGAAAATCGACGAAGGGAAGGCTGAATGACAACTCAAAGAAATCCCCACAGAAGGCGATGTGGGCGTTCTCCTGGTTCTGAGACGAACAGTCAATCCAGTTGTATTCATTACAAATCGTTATCAACTCGAATTCTTTAAGGAGAAGACTAAACTTCCAGGTGTAAGGGACAAAATGCAAGATATCCGGTCTCGTTTTGCTCGCCCAGTCGTTTATCATATCCTGGAAGAACTCCTTGTGAGAGTAAACCAAATTAGCTGTTGCCTTGCATCCAGTTAAATTCAACGTCCACTCCTGGTGGTCATTCCACCTGATGGGATAATGGCACTTCACCCCAAACTCCAGTGTCTCACTCTCCACGAGACTTCGGTACTGCAGACTCGTTGTTGCCTCGAGATGCAACAGCTGTCCAGTGATTTTCGTGGTATATCCGTCCTGCAATACAATCCAGGGCATCGTCACCTCGAGATAAGATCCAGGACCAACATTAACATGAACAGCATTGGTCTCTCTATTTTTACTGAATAAAATGTCAACAGTTGCCTCATTGAGAGTCGACAGTCTGATATCGAAAGACTGGACCTGTCGTTTGTCCCCTGGGGACGGCGCCTTAGTGACCTTGAGGGGTTGATAATCATTGGGGAAGAAGAACTTGAAGAGATGCTCCCGTTGTCTGTCAGCCCAGGGTCCGTAAGAGAAATCAGTTCCCTTTCCACACTTAACGTCAATCCCCCAGATGGGGGGCATTGCCTCCACCATATCTCCATTAGCCAGTCTGATCATCTCAGGATGCTCTGGGACAACCCCTGGCTCGTCCATATAATAATAAACCTCCATATTGTTGGAACTCAGAACGACGAAACCCTCCCCCATGTACCTCGGTGGATCGTCCACCATTCCTGTGTACTTGGGGGAGGGTGCGAGAATTACCTTGAAGTTCTCAGCCTTGCACTTGGTAAAATGCATAAAATGATCGTGTCTGGAGGCCGCTGGTTTGGTAGAATAGACAAAGTGAGCCTCCTCGACAGTGAGGGAGAGAGTTGTGGGGACCAGACGATTACCAAATACTAGTCTCCCTGTACAGACGTCTAGCTTTATCACCGGTATCAAATCCCTCCACGTTCGAGCTATCACGTGTGCCTCTTGCTTTCTGATGTTCTCCACGTGTCTTGACACATCCATTGCATTTATCTGCTGACGAAAATCATTGGCTGCATTGTTTATAGACGACGAGTCCTTCTCGTTTATGTGATTGTTGTGATTGGACTCCTCGTCGGGGAACATCTGCGGGGAGAGGCCAAATGTTTCCTCCAGGTGGGCATACAGCTCGCATCTGTTGTAAACATGAAGCTCAAAGCCATTCAACAGAACTGAGAGACGAGTGTCCGAGTGGGAGAGATCTTCAGAGACATCTTTTGGAACGTAACTTCTCCACCATCTGAAGATCAACCAACCGTCCTGGATTCTGAGGCTGTAGTCTGTCGTTATGTACACGATGTCTCGGAACATTATCTTTCCACTCAGGGCGCTCAGGGTAAAGGCTCCAACCTTCACGTAACCGTCTCGGATTATGAAACGATTCAAAAGACGTGTCAGGATGAAACCGATCACTCGGGAATTGTAGTATGTTATGTAGATCAGCCAGGAGATCGCTGACACCAGGGAACACAGGAGGTAGATGAAATTACTGTCCATTTTCAGGTCGTCCAGGATCACATGGTCTGAGTAGTTCCAGTAGGAACTCGCTGGCTCCAGACCCGAGAACGACGGGTGTGTCGAGTTCACCTCTTGCTCCATCTTTTCAGGGCTTTGTGGCCGGTCTAGCAATTTGGAATTCTAGAAGTACTTTCTCCTCTCGTGTCTACCTGAAATTATCGTATCAAATTTTTACTCTATTATTTAGAGTCTAAAAATTCTTCTTTCTAAATTTTTTAATAATAAAAAATCTAGGAAAAAACCACTCACACATTCTGGAATCATTGGCAGTCTGTTGGGTTTTGTACTATCGCAAATTCCATTTTTTAGCTCCTCACATTATCAGAAAGCTGTCTTTAATCGTTAATATTTTCTGTAAGAACGATACGAGTTTGATGAGTCCAGAATCATTCCAAAACTTTCAAAAATACCTCGAAAATTAAACTAACCAGATAAAATAAATAAAGTGTACAAATGCGTTTGTTTATGCTGTAACTGGGAGTCACCTCAGAATCCTATTAAAAATTAAAAAATCATGAGTGGATGACGATCGCCTGTGACCAGCACCATATCATTCCCTGGAGACTGATACGGTAATTCTCTCATTGCTCATCATGAATCGTCAATAGATTGATAAGTGACAGGTGATAATTGAACGAGTTTGTGTGTGTGTTGGTGTTCTGAACCCAATTTCGTATGAATCTCTCCATCTCACCTGTTCGTTTCTCCTTCCATTACCACACATTGTCGCAATAACTGTTGGTCTGTTGATTATTATTTCGTTGATTCATTGAGCTTGAATTTCTGTCAAAGGACCATTGTCGCGTGCCAACATTGTACTACTAACACTGTCATTTTTTCTAGTTTACCGATCAACTCTACGACTACAATTCGCCATTGATTACAAGTCGACTGATAACCAGACAACTTCAGAGCTGTTCGAAACGTTTAAAGGTCGACTAAACTGACAGCCGCGGGAGAATAAAATGTCTTTATTACATTTACATAATAATTAACGTCCAACTAATATTAATAATATCATTCCTGAACTGTATGACATCTGATTCAAAAAGGATGTTAAAAAAGCCATAAAAATTATTGTTAATCAATTCTTTATTGTCCAAAACTAGTCAAGTGGAAAAACGACGTAAATTGATCTAGTTTTCTGTTCATATCTCCTAAATTAAAGCAAAAATGAAAATTTCTATAACAACCTTTTTGGTAGAGCTAATTAAGAATTACGAAAAAGGTTATTAGAAAAATTTGGTTATCTCCCTTATTTTTGGAAATATTTTCAAGAAACCTAGCAGAGTTGAGTTGATTATTTCGTTTTCCCACTTTGCTGCGAAAATGAACTGAAACACGTCTGAAAAAATTCAAATTAGAGGAAAGTTTGGAAATTGATTGAATTTTTTCCTACGTGAAAACAATCAAATGAAATATTATAAAATATTGATTAGAGTAGCTATCTATCTTGATTCATCGATTGGTCAGCGAAGATTTTATCGAGTAACTGGGCACAAGACTGGGCCTCATCAACAGCTTCTTCAGCGTTTAAATCTAGCAGGTGACGTTCCAAGGTCTCCTTAAGCCTCAATTCAGGTCGCCTGCACTCTCTGAGAGCAGGGAGATTACTGTCGAGGGTGAGACTGTTAAGAATATCCAGCAAACGGTCTCTAAAAAACACCAGGAAAACATCCATCACAGATTATTTAATCCGAATGCCACGAGAATCCTCGGTTTGAATTTGAATTTATTTCTCTAACCTGGTGTCAGGAAGAGCTGTCGACATTGCCAGCAATTCAGCAGCTTGCTTTACTAGCCCCATTTTAATCATTTTCGATCTGATAACATGTGCATTCTCTTTATTGCAAAGTGCAGAGAGCAAAAATGCTGATTTTATCTGAAGTTTTTCGATTGGACTCTGAAGGGCTCTCATCAGTACTGCATATCCATCATTGACGTCCATGTACTTCAGTGCGAGGGCGTTACCTCGGACGATGCCTTAAATAATTTTCATTTAATTAACTATAATTGTTTTTAATCACAAAAAGAAACAAAGGAATATCACTCACACGATACTGCATAAAGCGACTTGATCCTCGCTTGATCTGAGGGATCAGAATCGACCATTCCCAGCAGAATAGGCATGAGTCCCATCTCCAGGACCTTATCTTGACAAAAAGGGTTGTTCTGGGTCAGCTCAGCAATGATATCTGCGGCTTTCCACCTGATCGAGGCGTGAGGGGAGTTCAGACAGTGACCGAAGATGGAGAAGCCCCCGATTTTATAAAAATCGTTAGCAATGTCTGTACTGTCGATGTATTCGGCAATTACTTCCAGGGCATTTTCGTAATCAGCTGGATCGTCCTCTGGACGCAATTCCATTACATCTCTCAGAAGTTTTATCGACTTCTGCAGCTCTTCGATAACGTTCACTGTCAGAGAATTGATTGCCTCGTTCAGAAACTTCTTTCTCTGGAAATTCAAGGGGTATTTGATGATTTTGATGTTTTCAAAGATATTTTTTACAGTAGTTGATATTTTTGAAGAATAAAATCCATGCCTCCTCGTCCATCGGAGTGAAGTGAGTGCTATGAGGTGCGTCTTCTGCTTTCGTAGCTTCCATGGCGAATCTCAAGAGCCCTTGAAGATTCTCTGGTTGTCTTGGCTGATTTTCCACTGGATGCATCGGTCCAGAGGGTCGTGCTGCCTCAATGGACAGGGGTCTGGTGCTGCTTGCATTCTCATTCGCTGGGGTTTTACTCGACTCTTTGTTATTACTGGAGACAACATTTTCAAAAAGAAATTAACAGACAGAGTAACTACGGAAATCATTCCTGTTGTAAATTGATAAATTTGGATACATTAATTTTTCATAACCTTAATTATCCACGAATATCTTCCAAATGGAGAGAGATAACCAAATTTTCTTTTCATTTACGAACTATTCACGGAGAGTTGAAATATAAGACCTTCAGTTACTTATATTACTTCAAGGACTCGTTATTATAGAGTTTGCATACCTGTTCATTGTATTATGCTTATTTTTGCGTGACTGCGATGTTCCCATCCAAAAAATTGATGACTTATACAGATAAACTGAAATCTTAGGACATAACTGTCAAATAGTATTGAAAATGCATCAGGAGAATAATTACAGCAATCAACAGTGGTCCTTTGACGATCACCAAAATGTTTATGTCAGAATAATTTCTGTAACAATGTACCACTTGAAGTATTTTGAGGTTCTCATTATTTAAGTTACCAGAGTTTCCTTACAATGACAAGAAATTGTACGAGATTTTCCTACGTTAATTACGTCATACTTTACCCACAGTTAAGGTATGATACAGGCAGGTATTGTCAAGCCAAAAACAGGGGACAAGTTCTCTCAGGCGGCACGAGACAGCGCGGCGGTCACTATCACCAAAGAGGATTGAAAGTAGAGGCTCAGTTCTCGGGGTTTGAGTGACCCCAGCGGCATCGTAGTAGCCGACCCCATAAGAGGGAGGGCGCCCACACGCAACGCTGGGGTATCTGTCGTTAGCAGACTCAGCGACTTCTCAGTAATATCCCTCCAGCTTCCCTTTTAACAACTCTGAGCTCTTCGATGCCTCAGATTCCACTGACTGGAATTTTTGACGAGCTGATTTCAGAG